AGCCAGACTTCAAGGATACATACAAGATGCAAACATCAGAAATTATGTTATTTCAAACATGCATTACTAAAAAAAATTGTTTTCTTATTTTTGGATGGGCATATAATAAAAGCAGGAAAAGTTAGAATTACTCTTAAATTTACTGTAATTAACTATTTTCGCCTTCCGTTCCACGATAAACTGTGGTTGAAATAATAAATGCAGAATTTTTAAACAATACAAGTATAGAAACCAACGAATTAAACAAATTAATAAGAAGACACGAAGAACAATTTTAATTAAAATTTCCTTACAGATGATATCTTGAAATGAAATTAATAAATTTAAAGGGGAACAGAAGAAAACAAGGATCACTATGAGAGCATTGCAGAATTCATTCTCAGGCAACAAACAGTTACACTCACCTCATTTGGCATGCCCATCAATGCACAGTTGGTACTAGAATACTTATTTGCATGTTAGATTATTAGACTAATAAACTCCTGAACACTGCAGAGTTGTTAATCATACATCAGGCATTAGCAGTACAAGTTCATTCATGTAGTACGAGGGTAAGTCAGTAAGTAAGTTACAAATGGATATATAACTTAAGAGTACTGATTTGAAAAATGCTTTTATTTCTCAACATAATCTTCCTGTACATTGAGACACTTGTCCCATCGTTTCACAAGCCCCTGAAAACCAGCAGCATAAAATTCTTTGGGCTGCTGTTGGAACCAGGTGGTAACTTCCCTAGCTACAGCTTCATTGTTGGGAAAATGTTCAGCTGAAAGATGATGTTTAAGAGGGCCGAACAAACGGAAGTCGCTTGGAGCAAGACTCATCACCTGTGACAATTCGGGCTAGCATATCATGTTCTTTATCATGGTAGTGATGCTGTAATGCCAGACACATTCTTTGCATTTTGTGCTGTGGGGTCAGCATGCGTGGCACCCATCGTGCACAAACTTTGTGAAAACCTAACCTGTCATGCAACTTCCATTTGTGCGGCCCTCTTAAACATCATCTTTTGGCTGAACATTTTCCCGACAATGAAGCTGTAGAAAGGGAAGTCACTGCCTGGTTCTGACAGCAGCCCAAAGAATTTTATGCTGCTGGTTTTCAGGGGCTTGTGAAACGATGGGACAAGTGCCTTAGTGTACAGGGAGATTATGTTGAGAAATAAAAGCATTTTTCAAATCAGTACTCTTATTTGTTTAAGTTCTATATCCATTTGTAACTTACTTATTGACTTACCTATGTACTATAATTACATTTAAAAAACAAATGGACAGAATTACATCATCTTCAGTGTCAAATCAACCAATAAGCCTATGATCATGATATAGAGTTTATTCCAAAGCAAACAGATAATACAGGATGACTGATTCTAAAAGTCTGCAACTTATTTTACTGTACATCAATAAGACACACTATTGGGATGACAAACTACCAACACTGTTGACAATGTCTACCTTGAAGGAAGTTGCTATGTTGCATCTGCAGTGAGTAAAATGCTGTTCTGTATGGACATGTTCAAAGTAATGCTTGTATTACTGAATGACTGATATTACAGAACAAAGTGAGAAAATTAATTTGAGTGTGAAACTTGGAAAGACAGTCACAGAAACCTGCAAAAATCCTTAAATCTGCACTTTGAAAAGAACCTCTCACCTGTATTGGGCAATTTAAGTGGTTAAAAAGGACCCTGAAAACAATTCACATCCCAGATGTTTATCACACATAACACAATGACAAGACCTTTGGTGACATGGAATCAGTTTTTATTTCTACGATTCGAAACATCTAAAGATGGAAGTTTGATGGGAGAGCTCAAAAAATAGAAGTTGGGGTCACAGATATTTCAACACAATATCCTGGGTACTCTCAAAGTTATTTGAAAGGAATTCTTTATCATAAAACATTCCATTAGCTTCCCACTGATCTGAATTTAACACCCGCTGACTTTCCTTACTCCAAAAATTGAAAGCACCCAAACTGGAAAGACTTGAGAAAGTGCCAGATATCATCTGAGCATGGCATCAGAAACTAAGTTTATCCATATGTGCTCCAATAGCTGAAAGACTGCTGGAATAATTATTGTGTTCAAGCAGTATGAGATTACTCTGAAGGGGATAAATTGTATTCACAAATATGATCTTCTGCTTGTACATACAAAAGAAATTATTAGTCATGGAATATTATGCTCCACTAGCATAAGAAAAGTATTTAGAAAAAAAAAAAAGAAAGAAAAATCTATGACTAAAGATTTAATGTTTTTGAAGACAATAAAAAGAAAATATGATAGGCAGTAAGAGAAAGAAAACTTACCTTGTTTTCAACTTTCACCCATCAATGCTGCTGACTGAGCTTTACTCTGTTACATTAATGGTTATTTGAAAATAAACAGCTTCATATTTTGAAAGTGCTATATCTTGGTGACAAATATTAAAAGTTTTCAGTTGAATTCTCCAAGTTTTGCTTTCAGTGAAACTTGTAATTCTGCATTTATTGTAATTAGTGAAATATTTATAAAAAAATAATAATATTATTTATCAGCATCTTAATGAATGATGTAAGAAACTAACAGTTCCTTTTCATCATATGAATAAATGATTCAGAATGCCTGTGAACAATTAGTATTAATGTAGCTATTGATATGACAAAAAGTACTGTGGCATGCCGCCAGGAACATTGGACAGTAGAACGTCCATTTCTGGTCAATGGCTAGCAACTCCAAGGAAGAAACATAAACAGACCATTGCCTAGGGAAGTGCTTAAGCAACAGAGACCGAATTCTTGAGGTCCCACAGCAAGGAATGTGCAATGAGAGGGGGTCCATTGCTAGGCAATGCATGGATCTGACAACAATACAGCAATTTGTTTTCTGTGGGTGGTCCATGCCAAGCCTATATAGGGAGCAGTGAACCCAGAATAGTTAGGATCCAACGAGCGGTGTGGGAAGAACCAAGAGTGAAGGCTCCACTGAGAATAGCAGTGCAAGATTAGAGCCATTGAAGAGGGAACGTGAAAGGCATTGCTGAGAGTGCTTATATTCTTGAGTGTAAACATATAATTGTCTGAAAACCACATGTACACCAGAAAAATGTATAAAAATAATCAGTTTGGAAAAAATGTCTGCATAGACTTTTTATTAAGTATCCTCGATACGTCAAATGGGAGATGCATGAGTACAGCTCATGGATTGAAGCAACGCAATTTCAAAAGCTGGCAAGACCTTTATTGTGACAAAAATGACACATAACAGGATTTTATTTCAGAGGATGCAATGGATTCTGATGCTAATATGTATCTATCTAAAAGCCAGGATAAATCAGGGCATGAAGTCAAATCATCTTCCATGCTCTGAAAAACAGAGATCATATTTTATGTTATGGAAGCCTATAGATATCACTGACTTCCAGTTTCTATAGGTGGACTTGTAGAAATACCTGTTAGTTATTTAGTTATTTAGAGAGGGTGGGTTTCCCCATGCACCGTGACCAGTTTGATCTATTGTGCTTCCCTCTATGATATTCTACCAGTCTCTTTACCCTACCGATAAATGGTGCGTACCATCAGTCCCGCCGAGCAAGCGAGTTCGGCCACTTGCTTAGCGGTGTCTATAATGCTTCCCCCATCTATCAGAGGCCTTAGAGGCTATTGTTGGGCGGGAAACGTCCTGGAATTTGGCTCAGTGATCCCCTTTGGGGATATGAGGTTCTTTTACGTGCCGTAAAGTTACGACACAGGACACACAGCTTAAAGTCCCTCCCGGAGGACTTGTTCCCTGAATTTTTCTGCCCTTTTTGACGACCTCCGCCAGGTATTTGAACCCGCGTACCACGAGTCATGAGGTGGGAACGTTACCTCTAGACTGCGGAGGCCGCTTTAGAAATACCTGACAATGACACTGAGAGTCATGATAAATGCTTTGTATAAGAATCATCTACTCATTAATTATATTTAGAAACTATGACCTCCAATATCACCAGTATGGCATACACTTCATACATCATTTCTTCATAATGAGCAAAGGCAGGCAGCAACCACAGCTATGAGCAGATAACAAGTATGTAGATCAGGGCATTGACAAAGCAGAATTGTGGCAGTGAGAGCAGCTGTACTAAAACGACCAACAGAGTAGATTTTCTTTTGTACCCTGTTCATCTGAAGATTAAAATAAAACCAATTTCTGATTGGTGGTGGTTTCAGTAAACTGGGATGATGGTAAAGGTTCTAAAGGTTTAAGCACTTGTCACACCACAGTCAAAAGGTTTTCAAATTAATTTTTAAAAACTGCATACTTCTGAAAGACCCATTATGAAACAAAATATCTGCACCCTGCATTAAGTGATGCTACTGCCCTCCATACTCCACAAGTTTGCGTGGCCACTGAATTAGTACTGTTGATAACAAAAAATGAATATATAAAGATTGAATAGCCTCAGCAGCATCATGTTCATACCAAATTTCTTGAATATCCATCAACAATTTATAAAATGTTAAGTGGGTACCCAAGACACGTGGACATTACAACATAAGCCTAATTTTCCTTATAAATGAAGCAGCCCCAAGATAGACAATGAGAATAATGACAGAATTAAAGCGTAATGTTCTGGTAGGGTTAAATATGCTTCAACTTCAACAGCTATTCACAAATGTGAAATTTAATATATATAACTGATACGATCCTCTGTTGAACGTAGAACAACATTCAGACTACACTCCATTCCAATTCTAGACTGAACATAATGTTTTTTAAACTGAAACAACACAAAATGGATCTGACAAGGTGTTGCATGTCAAACTAAGGAGCCACAGTTGTTTATAAAGTCACAAGCAGCAGAATAAAGGATCACTGTGAGACAAAAGTATCAAAAGTAAATGTTAAAAATGTGCAAAACTTGGAAAATTCTAGCATAATTTTTCATATTTGTCAATAGTGCCTTGTATGAAAGATATGCACAAAGCTCTAGTTTTGATTAAAAAAATGGAACAAGATTATAAACCTAACTCACAAAGTGCAAAATCCATTCTTCTGACTGGAGAATTTCTCATCACATCACGGCCCTCAGAAATTCCACTGTCATATGAACTTTCAACGCCAGACATGGGTGAATTAAGTGGTAGGGACATGCTGCGGTCGAAGCTAAGTAGAACAAACAAAAGAGTCGTTTACACAACAATACATTTTACGTTTTCAATGTAAAGGAACTGAAGAATGTTTTGTTCACACACTGACCTGAAAAACAAGATGACCGTCCAAACATTCTCTGTAGTGGTAGATAATTGAGAAGTATGAATATGGGGTAGAATTAAAAATTATATAGGCAATGTATCCTCCATCCGAAACATAAAGATTAAAATATATTAAACTATAATTTTGCCCTCTGTTTCATATGGGTGTGAAACTTTGCCTCTCATATTAAGAAAAGAACACATTTTGAGTGTGTCTGAAAATAAGAGTACTCAGGGGAGTATATAGACCTAACACAGAAGTAACAGAATCCTGGAGAAAATTGTAAGGCGAGGGGCTCCATAATCTGTCTTGTTTACTATATATTATGAGGGCTATTTGGAAAGTAACCTCTGGTGAGCTGCTAAAAAAACATGCAATGGAAAAAAATATCTTATTATATACAAAAAATACATATATACTTAAGCTACTTCTCAACGTAGTCACTGCTGGAATTGCACCTGTCATACTGGGGAATAAGTTTTGCATGCCTGTGTCAAAGAAGTCCAATGCCTGTGAGCTCAACCACATGTTGACACTTTCCAACAAGTGCTGTGATCACAACCAGTTCTTCAGGTACGTAAACAGGTGGTAGTCATTTAGCGCGAGATCAGGGCTGTAAGGAGAGTGGTCAAACAACTCCTAGTTGAAATGCTCCAACAGTGCTTGAGTGTGAGCAGCTGTATGTGGACATGCATTGTCATGGAGAAGCACTACACCAGATGTCAACATTCCACACCTTCTGTTCTGAATGGGCCTATGCAGTTATTAAGTGTTTAGCAATAAACTTCTGACATTACTGTGGTCCATTGTTGCATGAATTCCTCCATCAGCACTCCTTTCCAGTCCCAGAAAACAACTGTCATCAGCTTTCTGGCAGACAGCGTTTGTTTGAACTTTTTCAGCTTGTTTGGTGAATGTGTGTGCATTCACTGCTTTGACTGCCCTTTGGTTTCATCACTCACAAATGGAACCCAGGTTTCATTACCTGTTACGTGTACAATGTGAATGAGAAATTCATTGCCATCCTTGTGGTATCTCACTCAAAAGGTCAAAGTTAAAGCCATTCTCTGCATTTTGTGCATGTCCATGAGCATTTTCTGAACCCATCTTGTGCAAAAAACTTGTGATAGCCTAGCCTAACTTGATATTCTTGTAGAGAAGTAAGTGTAATTTGTAGAAATTCAGATGAAAGTTTTGAAATTGTGAAGTGCCATCTTTCACAAATTTTTTGATCAACACCCTCGAAGAAATCATCACTCATTATAAATGGCCAATCACTTCACTTTTCATTGTAAACATTCGTTCACCCATCTTTGAACATTCTACACCAATGACTTCACTCATTACATTTTGGCCATAAACCACGATCAATTTCCACAGCACTCATGTTTTTAGTGTGAAGAAAGCAAATAACTGCCGATTTCCACAGCTGGTGGGATTATCAATTGCAGGACAGATGATGGATCAAGTCCAAAACAAGCCAAAAGAAGTACAGTATACACCATCGTCAGAATCCTTTCTAGGAACTTATTCCCACCCCACTAGCAATAAAAAAAGAAAGTAAGTGAGAAGCATGGTGAATGACAAAAACGAACCGTGATAGTTTGGGGGTTTCCCTTCCACTTCCCAACTTGTTTGCTCGAGATCTTAATGATGGCAGGCTGTCTGAGGACTGTACAGAACCAAGATGTATCCCACTGTCCACTGATGGCCGCTTGGTCAGACGCTGATGCTGAGGCTGATGCTGCTGCAGCTGAGGTACTGATGTACTGCTACTGTTCTGCAGCCGCACTGTCACATTATTTGAATCCATCACCCCTGCATTCAAACATTATATTATCCATTAAACCAAGCCTGTCCAGTACTTCGCTCACAAAAATAATGATTTCCATGGAAGATATTTTAACATGCAGCAGATGTTACCCTTGTACAGAACCTGCAACAAATTTCAAAGCAAAGTTCGTACTGTGTAAGATTTGAGGCTTTCACGGCGGTGACTATGAAGAAAGCAGTCTTCTGGGATTTGGCACCGTGTCTATGTGGTGTTAACCGACGTTTCAGAGGAACGTATCGCCCCCATCTTCAGGGTTGAAGAAGTATAGGTAAATCTGCAAGTGACAACACCGTGAGACACGGTCAGACCGTGTCTCACGGTGTTGTCGCTTGCAGATTTACCTATACTTCTTCAACCCTGAAGATGGGGGCGATACGTTCCTCTGAAACGTCGGTTAACACCACATATACACGGTGCCAAATCCCAGAAGACTGCTTTCTTCAAAGTTTGTACTACTTAATACAAGTCATTATTATCAATTCACTGTTTACACTGTATTCAAAGGTACTTGCTAAGTGCAACCAATTTTGCAATTAACAAATGATCATAATGTGCACTATTTTTCAGCTATTTATGACCCATCTTCAGGGGAGTCCACATAATTATAAAAGGAAGCCTACATCAGTAATGTATTTATGCTCATTTACTCATTAGAGGATTGGTTCCATTAAATGGGACCTCTGAATTAAAGTAACTACAAATTACCATGAGCACTGGTTGATTTGAAGAATGCTGTCTTCTGAGATGCGATGTCTTGCTTGCTGCCAGCTTCTGCCATGTTGCTTGCTAGGCTTAATACTTGACTTTGAAGGGAGAGGTACTACATTCCTCCAAAATACTGGTAAACTTCTAACAAACTATATGCTTTCAGACCCCAGAAGACAGCATTGTTCACAGCCACTGCCATGGAAACCTCAAATACACACAAACCCTGCCTGTCTTATGTTTTCTGTCTAGGAACTGTGAAACAAAAATTTCTGCTCCTAAAAAGTGTCTCACTCAGACTGACTGCACCCTTCCATTCTACTTGTTCGCAGGTTCTGACCTATGATACAGGACATCATTGACAGATAAGCCCTTCAGTGAATTCTTGAGCATGGTTGTAACTAAGTTTCCATAAACAGGGTGTGACGTTATATTCTGTTTAAGCATCAAACTTGCATGTTTCTGTATTAGGTATGTGTATTATTAAGTCATTGTTGTCAGTCACTATATATACCTGTGAAAGTGGTTCAAGGATCCAAAAAAGGCTGGACAAGTTCTTTTAGTTTTTATGCACCAACCTACAGAACAGCTAAATTACAAAATTATTAACAGAGCTCATGGAATTTTCACAGAAACAAAACAATTTATAAAAAAACTCATAGCAGAGAAGCATAATGGAAGATTGCATTGAGAAGTCAACACAATTCCATGGCCATATTTAGCAGTGCAATATCACCATGCTTGCTTGGCCGGCCGGACTGTGCATACACTGTTAGAGTAGCACAACAAACAGGAAATAAAGGTCAATATGGATCATGATGAAATATGGGCTGAAGATATGAACTGGATTGAATTTATTATGGATATAATTTAATGCCAACTGCCACATCTGAAACTTCTAACAAGTTCCAGAAGAGAATGGAATCCACTGTGTTTTCTAGCAGCATCATGTGTTCAACACGGCACGTACAATAAGTAGCCACCCCACACAAACCTTGTATTGAACTAACAGGACTGGACAAGGAACTGTGGTTGCTCCCAGCATTGCTTGCTTCACCTGACTGTGGAATGTTCACATGCAGCTCCAGACTCACAACTTTGTACTTCTGTGACTCATTTCTGTAAACAAGAATAGAAAGATTTCAAATTTTCAAACTGTTCTTTGTGATCTTGCATATCTCACTAACTTTCATGTTCAGATTTTGCATGTACAAACGACTGCTGGAAACTATTAAAATTACAGATGCCAGAAATACTTATTTCTTTTATTTTCAAATGCCCTGTCATTCGAAGTTGAACACAAGACAGAAGTATAAATATATACAGTAGGTGCCAAAAATGCAGTACTGAAACTTGCGCATCTCAAACATACATGTGCATTTGTCAACGGGGCATAGCTCCAGCCGCACGTGTTCCCAGCAGTGAAAAGGAAGTGGTGTTGTGCAGTTGTTGGAAATGAGTCTCTCAATGGAGGAAAAAGTATTCATACTTGAGTATTATTTCCGCTCCCATGGAAGCTGTCGTCAGACAACTCGCTTCTTGGTTTTGAGCGGTCAGATGTTATTGTCCAGAAACTACTACATAGTACATGTGTGACGATATGGTGTGCTGTTTCAGCACATGGTATATTAGGCCCCTATTTCATTGAGGATGAGGAAGGCAATGCCCTTACCTTCATCCAAGAACGCTACAGGGACATGGTGATTGGACCATTTCTTCAGGATTTGAAAAGGTTCTGTCATGCAAGGGGCCTTCACATGAATAGACAGTGGTAGCAGCAGGACGTCTTTTCATTTCAGTACTGTATATTTTGGCGCATACTGCACTTGTCCTAACCAAAAATATTTTACATTTTGAACTCCAAAAATAAATGTATCTTTCTTCCTCTCCAACTGCTTAATGATGAATAATGCTACTATATAAATACTCATACATTACAAAGATTGGCACTAAAATTACAATTTCGCGAACAGCAAGTTGGCTATAAAGTTTTATAAGTTGACTAATCGAGAATATGAGAGTTGAGAGAAAAATTCCACAAATTACTATATTTTCCCAACTACAAAGCAAGATTCCTATTTTTACATTCATTTAAAATATAAGAGGTTATTTTATACTTCCAAATGAAGATAAATGTGTAAAGAACATAATGAACGTGATTCAACCATTTCCATGAAACATCTAGCAAATGTATGGACAAAAATTAAATAGGTCATTACGAAGAGAGAGTAGTAGTTATGTAATGCTGTACCTGAGAATTCCATTCGGACAAGTAATAAAATACTTATATTTAAGACCTTCCACAACAGAGGGTCCTGTTTTATACCTGTATCTAGAGAAACATAGCAAGACCTCACCCTCTACTCAACCTCCCAGTCAAAAGCTCACAAACACAATTTTGTAGCAGAGCACTTCACCTCCTGCCCCTACAAGTATTCCCTCCTACCCACATATATGCCTCACTACAGAGTTCCACTAACCTTGTAACAGCACCTGGCCGGAGGAAAACGCCATCATGTGAATGTGCTGCAGATGCAACAGAAGCCAAAGATACAACTGAACCAGCTGGAGATAAAGTTGACATATCTGGAGATGAAGATGGACCAAGCAACATTATATTGTCTGTACCTAGGAATGCTGGAGAGGCAGATGACACCTTTGTCCTTACAGAAGTGGATGTTGGAGACCCCAGTGACCTACAGTTTGCTGATGAATTTGTGGAGGAACCTGGAACAAGAATATGCGCTTAACAGCAATACAACAGAAAGTACCACATTTGTAGGAAGTCTCTACCGTATTTAATCAATTTCAAGTACACTCTTCCTCGTGCGATGAGCACCATACAAGGTGGCTCAGCATTAACATTTGTCTGAATACTATTTGGAAATTACCTCATTCTATACAAATATTATGTTTCTGAACATTATCCACTGTCCTGTTTTTATGTAAAACACAATGTCTTGGACACTGGATTCTGTCTCTGATTTCCGATAAATCCGACTCAGTTTGGCCAAATTGACAGAGCTGATCCCTGTCTCTGGACACCTGCATGAACACAAGATTGGGTATACAAACCAAGCACAGCATAAACATCTATGAGTGTCACAACAAAATATTAAAACATTACAAAAATCCACACATATGAGGCCTAGCACCAGAGTACTATCAGGATAGAAGTCATCACTGGAGAGATAAATTCCCTGTATTGTATCAATATAAAAACACAAATTTTCCCATTTAATCTACACTGGATGGATTTGTAATTGTTTTACTTCTTCTGTGATAACAGAAGTATGGATGGGAGAGATGTCCGAGCTGGGCTGACTGACTGAATGGTCTATCAGAGACATGTGAGAGGATTCTTTGTATTTCCTGCATATGGTGTTCGGTTCGATCTGCAAAACCTTTGCTTCTTTCAAGCAGAACTTGTTGTAAGGTTACATTTGAGCTCCATAATGCATACTTCTAAAGGTCTGCTTGTTTCACTAGTGTAACATCTGCCACAATCACACAGGATATTGTACACACACTGCTTCGTCTGCTGGGCATCTCTAACCAATCCAGTTTTTGACAATGTCCCATGGAGCACATGTTTTGTTTTGAAATATTTTTGAAAATGGTCCTGACATTAAAACAATTTATAATGGGTCTGAATTTGTTGGAGATACCCTTAACATATGGGATAATGACAGTGCCCTGGTATACTGTATCTGAGGAAAGGCAGTTACTTCTTGATAGTTTTGTTACGGAGTCAGTGAATTGTTGCGGGTATTCATGAAGCACCAGATCGTGTCTTACGTTCTTCATTTCGTTGCTGAAATCCTTCTGGTCCTGACATATGACTTTAGATCGACGGATCAAACTGTGAATGACTTGCCTTTTTACGCGATGTGGATGGTTGGACTTGAAGTGCAGATAACAACCAGTATGAACAGGTTTTCGGTACACTTTCATGACCAATTCTGGACACCTTTTCATAACCAAAATATTCAAGAACAGAAGCATATCATTAACTTCAACCTTCATTGTGAATCTTATGGTAGGCCTAATGCTGTTGAGAAGGTGAAGAAATTGCTGCAATCTTGCTGGCCCATGTGGACAAACCATGAAAGCATCGTCATTGTATCTGAGCTACTTAGTGGGTTTGTGGTCTGCTGTATCCAATGCTATTTCTTCAAAGTGTTCGATAAATATACCACTGACCACTACAGATAGTGAGTTTCACATTGCCATACCATATTTCTGCTGATAGAATCTACCCTCAAACTGGAAGTATGTAGTTGTTAAATGGATGTCCAGTAATTCCACTACATCTAACATGTATAAATGAGTGTTCTGGGGAAGATGGATCCATATTGAGCCTATTTCTTATGACTTGTAAAACTTCTTACACTATTACATTGGTGAACAGACTGACAACGTAAAAATTTGCAAGGTAGTCTTCATTTTTAAGGTTGATAGCCTGTATTAATTTTATGAAGTGTTCTGAGTTCTACATGAAGGAGTGTGTATTGCCAACTACAGGGCTCAGGATCTTGGGAGAAAATCCACTAAGTTACAACATGGAGAGTCAACAGATGAATCTAAAGGGGATTTCAGGTTTGTGTATCTTTGGAAATATATAGAGGTGAGGTGGTTTACTGTGGGAAGGAGCCAGTTGATGTTTCAAGGTTGTGGGAAGGACAATCTTGTGCTTGGTCAGAAGTTTCCATATCCTCCTCTCAATTTGAGACATGGGGTCCCTACATAGAATTTCATAAACTCCTGGTAATAGTAGACTGAATATCAATGACACTTTCGTGGTTGAGTCACAAGGGCCACATGGGCCAGCAAGAGTGCAGAAATTTCTTCACCATCTCAACAGCATTAGACCTACCAGCAAATTCACAATGAAAGTTGAAGTTAATGACATCCTTCTGTTGTTGAATATTTTGGTCATGAAGAGGGGTCCAGAATTGGCCATTAAAGTGTACTGGAAACCTGCACATACTGGTTGTTATCTGCACTTCAAGTCCGACCACCCACATCACGTAAAAAGGCTTGTCATTCACAGTTTGATTGGTCAATCTAAGGTCATATGTCAGGATCAGAAGGATTTCAACAATGAAATTAAGAACATAAGATATAAGCTGATGCTTAATGAATACCCACAAGAACTCACTGACTCTGTAATGAAGCCACTGAGAAGAAATCATTTTTCTTCACATCAATACATCAGGGCACGGTCATTATCCCATATATTAAGGGTATCTCCAAAAGTTCAGATGCACTGGTAACCGTTTCAATGTCAGGATCATTTTCAAAACTAAACATAGTGTGTGTACAATATCCCATGTGATTGTGGCAGACATTACATCGGTGAAATGAGCAGATCTTTAGAAGTATGCATTAGGGAGTACAAATATAACGTGACACTGGGTCTGCATGAAAAATCAAAACAGCCCAACGTGCATATAGAGAAAACCATCAAATACGTTGGAAAGAAGTGAATGTCTTGCAGATCGAACCAAACAACACATACAAGAAATACAGGACACCAGATATCCTGACGGAGTTTATTTGTGATTTTCCACACTCCTTCTGACTGAATGGTGGGAAAGTGTGTCAAAACATGCCAAAGTGACTTTGTAAAACATACTTTGCATTTCACTATACACGGTGATTCTCTTATCCCATAAAACACTGAATAATAAATTAATCATTGCTGAAGATTGCAATACAGTCTATCTCAATTACTTGTTCCTCAGCACATAAGGTTTTCTTTTGCTGTCCAATTTAAGTGATCCCAAGTCAGTTACCTCAGCAGTAAATTTCCTCCCATTTAAGATTTTCCACAGTTCTGAGTCAAAAGAAACTCTAAATGAGGTTTCACCATATTGTTATCACAGTATACATTCTGGACATTGTCCACAGTCTGAATGTGACTGAAATTCAGCAGGCTATAAAACAGGTGATTTTGAGGGGAAAATGACATGTCTCATCTGCGATAGTTACAGAATTATGGATACTGTCACACGATTGAGTGACTATAGATGGGGTTTGGATTGGTAATTGGATTTACTGGACTCTTTGATACAGTGCGTAACTATATTGTACAGGTCACTATTACACTCACACACACTAGTGTCCACAGACACACCTTCACTAGCCATTGTTCAGTAGTGGCTTTCAACATGAATTTTCATCTTCCTCTGGGTTCCCAAACTATAGCTGGCCTCAGATACCAGCTACTCTTGACTGACTGACTCACGCTAACTGTCCTGCTTATAACACCTCAGCACGGACCACTCAGAAAACACTGTTCATCTGTTGCTGTTTTCAACTGTTGCCATGCAAACATGCTTGTTTGCAAAGCTGTTACTCAGTAGTGGTTGCCAGTTATTTGCTTATATCATGGGTTTTGCCTAGCAATGGGCCTCCATGCTGCAATATTGAAAGCTAAACAGTGATAGAAGCAAGTGGTACAAATATATCCACAACCATTATCACAGGGACACATGTTAATATAAATCATTTTTCATCCTAAATCACTTTATTAACAACCCCCTGCATTTCATCCATTTCTTACTGGGACACACTACATACACTTTTATGTGAACATATGTGCCAGCTCTTTGGTCTACAAATGATGGAGCATTTTTCCCCTCCCTTCTTTGTCTGAAAAAGATATTCAATTGCATTTTTCATGTTCACAAACATAAAACGATAGTATCAGATAGAAGACAAGGGAAAAATACTCTCTGATGCCAACTACCTGGTGCAGAGTACTTCTTCAGAAGCTAATAACCATTCAGATAGTCACAAAATTCCATATCTTTCATGAAATCTGAAAGTATATTACTATGTTTGTAAGAGTCTGCCACCGTACCTTATCCTTAGCCAAACCAATCCAATCCATATACATCCTACTTTGACATACAAATAACTAGAGAGTTAGTAATATGGAATTTGAGACAAAATAAACATACAACTGAGCACTTCGTATATGCTAAGTGTTGTAAAAACATACTTAAAATTATCTAATTGCATAACTATGCCAAAACTAATGTTCTGACATCATACTCTGCTCTAGTGAAATACTTAAATTATAGTCAATGGTGTAAAATATTTCATGAGAAACAAAGACTACATAAATTATAACTGTTTACATGAATGTCTGCAGGTACTAAGAAACTGGCCTGGCAGTACAGGAAACAAAGCTTGCAGTCACAGAATCATACACATATACATACATTTATTTATTTACAGGTTTAGTTATTATATAAAAAACTTAGAAGACTCTTAAGCGGCCTCCGTAGTCTAGAGGTAACGTTCCCACCTCACGACTCATGGTACGCGGGTTCAAACCCGGCGGAGATCGTGGAATTTTTAAGGGCGGAAAAATTCAGGGAACAAGTCCTCCGGGAGGGACTTTAAGCCGTGGGTCCCATGTCGTAGCTTTACGGCATGTAAAAGAACCTCATATCTCCAAAGGAGGTCACTGAGCCAAATTCAAGGACGTTTCCCGCCCAACAGTAGTCTCTAACGCCTCTGATAGATGGGGAAGCATTATAGATACCGCCAAGCCAGTAGAGGCCGAACTCGCTGGCTCGGTCGGGACTGATGGTACGCACCAATATCAGTAGGGTATAGAGACTGGTAGATATCATAGAGGGAAGCATAATAGATCAAACTTGTCGCGGTGCATGGGGAAATCCACCCTCTCCAATAATTAACTAACTAGAAGACTCTACCAACACAAAGATATTTTTGTCCATTATTTGAAGGCTGACATGGCTATGCCAGTGAACCGAAGGCTGACACTAAGTCAAAGCATAAATTTACAGGCTTACCAAGGAGTGTCATGTTATTTTTTTCTCGTGCAGCTTCCAGTTTCTCCATTTCCTGTGCAAGATCCTCATGCTTATTGGAACGTGCACAGTCTGTAGCTGTCTGTGCAGACAAGTTACGCACATTCAGGGCTGTGTGATTCCACCTGTACAGAAGAATGGCTGTTTCCTGGTGACCTCTGGCACATGCCCACATCTGAAACATTAATCACAAAAGCCCCATGTATTGTTTTATCATATCAGTCTTTGCTTCTGTCAACTCTCAAGAACTTTTTAATCAACTGACTGACTTTTATAAATGCTGGTATAAACATATACCACTTTCCAAAAAAGTATCTGACTTTATTTTTTGCTGCTGTAAGTAATGGCCAAGGGGGGGGGGAACTGAGAGCAGTGGTAGAAGGGACTTTCATGTGCATGCATGATTTTTTGTTGACTCGCAACACCGCCAGTTGCATCTGTGGTTGCCAGATAGCGAAGTGGTATAACATGTGTTCGTCGCATTCTTGTTTTGCTCAAAATGACAGAATGCTTGGAGCAGCGATACTGCGTCAAGTTTTGTCAGAAACTTGGGAATACCCAAGCAGAAACAATGTGCAAAATTCAGCAGGCTTTCGGCAATGATGTAATGGGGGTCACTCAAATTATAGATTGGTTCAACTGCTTTAAAGAAGGCCGTATGTCGGCGGACAGTGACCAGTGTTCCAGGAGACCGTCAACAAGCCGAAATGCTGATGCCATTGAAAAAGTGCAGACACTGATCATGGAGGACTGTCATTTGACCATCCGGGAAGTTGCTGATGAGGTTGGGATCAGCAGAGATTCCGCAAACACAATTTTAACTGAGGATTTGGGCATGCGAAGAGTGGCGGCAAAATTTGTGCCCAAGCTGCTTTTGCCAGAGCAGCAACAACTCCACCTTGAGGTTGCACAGGACATGCTGGAGTACGCCAACAGGGATCCTGAGTTCCTGCAGAATGATCACTGGTGACAAGTTGTGGGTGTACGGATATGACCCGGAAACCAATGTCCAGGCATCACAATGGAAGCAACCAACATCTCCAAGGCCCAAAAGAGCACAACAGATCCAGAGCAATGTGAAGGTGATACTGACTGTTTTTTTTTTCAATTACCGGGGTGTTGTGCATCATGAGTACGTACCACTAGGCCAAATTGTCAATAGGGAGTACTACCAACGAGTCCTCCGCCACCTTCATGATGCAGTTTGGCGCAAGAGACCACAGCTGTGGGATGCACGCAACTGACAGCTGCATCATGACAATGCTCCAGCTCGTTCAACACACCTGATCCAGGGTTTCCTGGCCAAGCACGGCATTCCGTGGGTTTGCCAGGCTCCCTACTCTCCTGACATGGCTCCCTGTGATTTCTGGCTGTTCCTGAGATTGAAGACACCACTCAGAGGCTCCTGTTTTGACAGCCACGAGGACATCATACAGGATGCGATGGCGCAGCTGCACGCCATTCCAAAAGAAGCCTTCCAGAATTGCTTCCGGCGATGGGAGGACCACTGGGCTAAGTGTGTGGAGTCACAAGGGGCCTACTTTGAAAGGGATTAGGTATTGTAACCACCCAGATACAGAACTTTGTTTTCCCGGCCCAAGGTCGGATACGTTTTAGCCAGAGTAGTATCACTGAAGACCACATAACAATTTTTTCTGCAATTTCATACCATCAGTTATACCAACATGGGGGAAATTGTGAGACAAAGGCAATACTTGAAGAATTTAATGTATGAAACCGACATTTTGTATGATTAAAATCTTTAAAAAAATGTGCAAAATATACCACTACTGTTGAAAGCAAAATTCTAATCAACCACCACATGTATGCATACAGCATTTAGCTTGGAAATAACTTATAAACAAACCTACAAGTTTAATACTAAACACTTTTTCATGTATTAAGTTTTATAAACATGGATATGATACGAAATTTTGAGATCATACCAGACAAGTTTCAGGTAGTGGAAATTCATATTAATGAAACTTTTGCACAAAAATAAATTATTAGAATGTATATTAACATGTAATCTATACTAATATCTCTTTGTTTTTCTCAAATATCTTGTTAAAGATAATAATAACAAGCTTCATGTCCACCAAAAATGCAACAAAGTAAGGTTATCATTACTGACTATGAAATTCAATATGGTTAGTATATGGAACATTCACAGAACTACTTCACAGCTGTACTAGTGTCACTTCCACCTTCCAAGTTTATTCATCTGCCATGTTTTCATTACCAATTACAGGTAATTAAAAGTTGGAAGTTGGGGTGACCTCTAATGGCATAATGTCCATACTAAAATTGGTATATGGTTCAGAACTTGAAACTGGGTGACACATGCAGACAGACACACCATCACATACACAAACAGCATGGTGCGGTGATCTCACAAGCCATTTCATCCCTTAACCTCTTAAAGTCTTCTCTTCTAAGTACAGTGCACAGCCAAAGTACATTTAAGATGACACCATATTGTCAGGGCTATGCTACAGGGATAATAGAATACTCATTATTTTATGGCAAATATGTATTTTGTTCAGATTTTCCAGAAGCAGAAAAGCTATGACTGATACTTGCATGGTACTGCCATCTATGCATGATATTCTTAACTATATCAGTGCCAATTTTAAATGGAAGATGAGTCTGACTCAATGCTGCACACCATGATGCTTTGTGGTTACAAGTTAACTATTGACATTTGGCTCCAAGGGGTTAAAAGACTAACATATGGTAAAACACGACAAACTACAAAAGGATTCAGAAGCAAACAGGCTTAAGTGGTTCAGTTATGACAGAAAATGAAAGAAGACGAGATTTCTAAAAATATAAATGCACTAAAACCAAATGGAAAGAGATTTGCGAAAGGGTGAGTATATGACAGGTACAGCAAGTGAGAACAGAGGTGCAAAGCAAAGTTAAGACATGAACAATGTTGACAACTGAAACTGACAGAATAAACAAAAATGGAAACTTCAATCTCATGCTCATCCCATATGAGACCAACAACTACTCCCCCCACCCAAGTGGAAAGAAGAAAATTGATGCTTCATACAATCTACAATCTTATATCTTACTATTAATTTCATCAACTTTTATCAGTCAGACTCAAATCTCCAACTACTATGGCTCTGGTGGCGGAATTAAAAATTGGCAGTAATGGGACAAACACTGTAAACCATGCGATGCTAGATCTCCTGGGTCCTGCTACACCAGTAGATGCACTGTCAAAATTGTGCACTGCATGGGCACTAACGGTTAATGATATCTGAATTGCATTTATATAGCCCTGAATTGCAAAATTGCAGAAGTGGATTCTTCGAGTGATTAGTGGTATTAGTAGTCGCACGTCATGTAGACAAATTTTTAAAGATTACAGTGTTTTAACATTGCCTTCTCTGTATATATTGGAGGTGACATGCTTTATCAAAAAATACAAGGCTTTTATGGCAATAAATTCAGACATTCATAATTATAACACACGAAGAAAATTAAATTTTCATCTACAGCACTGTAATACAGCTCTTTTTAAGAGGAGTGTGATAAATATGGGAATTAGTTTGCATAATAAGGTCCCCAAGCAAATAAAACAAAGGGAAAATTTTAACTTATTTAAAAAGGAATTAAAATCTTTTTTGCTGAAACATTCCTTTTATTCTGTAGATGAATTCATGTCTTTTGATTCATCTAGTGTGTAAATGTAATATATAGCTGATTAATTTGTTGTATTTGTGTAAATACAATGAAATTAATGGTAACTAGATCTAGATAATATTATTCAGATGACAAACACCCTATATTGGGGTGGTACAGTGTATACTGTAAAGATATGCATGAGAATTAGATGTAAAATTGACAATTTCCTTATCCAAATGGTTGTAATACCTGTATGTATGAACTGTTGAATGATAATAAAATGATAATGAATCAGAAATTTGATGACAACTATGAATGTATGTTGTACAGGATGCAGAAAGAAAAAGTTGTGTCCTATTTTAAGGTGCTGTACCTACCATGAAGAACAAATAAAACTGTACAGAAAAGTAGTCAGTGCAATCAGTTTTCTGACAAAGATTTTAACCAAATACACCATAAATAGTGAAGTTCACAGTGCTGTAATTATACAATTTTATATTTTTTTTACTGCAATAACTAAGGATACAGATTTTTATAGATATAAAAATCAAATATCTCATGAAAAATCAGAGCATGTCATAATGTTTTATATCTAAAATAAATCTTAATTTAAACATGCATGATATCTCACACAAGAGCTCCAAATTTCACCAAAATGAACTAAATTTTTTCAAACACTTCATCCACTGATTCACCAGTTACTAGGCATTTTTAATGACCACGGCATTACAGGACTATTCAGTCTCTGTGCTCTGTTGTTTAAGTCTTTGAAGCTTCTAAATCATATTTAAAATTTTGGTTCCTAATTCCAAGAAGACAAATTCCATTGTTGTTAGGAAAGCAATTCCTCTTCATTCTTTTTGAGACTCATAAATATACTATTAAGTAGGGGGAAAAGTGGTAAAACAGTATGATCAAAAGCAAATAGCGAGTCCTGAACCAGCAGTGACAAGATAAGTGCAAGAACACAGTGTAGTGGTGTTCAGTGATGTAGTAGTAAACTAAAAGAAAAGGATGTCAAGACCATAAGTGACAAACTGAAATAATGCTACAAAACAAGATAAACATTACAATATAAACATGTTCAGGAACTTCAACTTCATTCTGATAAATCAATTTTACTACTTCTCTCTGCATACTCTTACTACACATAAAAACAACAAACAGAGCACTGAATCTGTACCAGTGGTGTGTACCCATCTTCATCCTGACTGAGAGCATCAACCTCAGTCTCCAATAAAAGAGAAGAGTTCTCAGCACGCCAGTGGAGCATGGCACACACCAACCTGAGGAAGGGAATTTATAAATATCTTAATACAGTAAATCAAAATATGATGATGATGTGTTTGAGCATCCTGTTGCTGTAGTTGGGCTTTTCATATATGTGTATATGTGTAACACGGTCTAGCAAATGCATCATATCATAGGTTTTTGGTTACAACACCATTTAGTCCATGTTTTCATACATATGTATGACATCTTTCAGGCATATGAGAATATCATCAGGTATATATGACGATTCACATAAATTGCTACACTGTATTCTAATATTTTATGGCATGCAAGACATCCTAAAAGCATACTATATTTTATTTTTTTAAACCCCACAACCATACAATTTACAAAAAATAAAACCCAATTGCCAAGCAAAGAACTGAAATGCAATCTACATCATAAATAAAGAAAATGGATTGAAATGCCAGATCTCAAAGCCTAAACTCTAATATGGATTTTTGATGTAATGGCACAAAACTACTATAGACATGAAGTTGCAAAAAAAAAATCAAGAACATTAGCAAGAAGATAGTGTAAACAATATTAAAATAAAAAATGGAAAGTAGTAAAGAACATAAAGAACAAAATCTCAGTGAACAAACTCACTATAATAAAAGCAGACAAAGGGTAAACCTCAGTTGCACTCACACAAAATATGCAACTTTATACAAGAAACCAATTTATAGTAATTATTAACAATTCAGCCAAACATTATAGAAAAATTGCAAAAGAAACACTAAAACAGTGTAAAAATTCCCTACAGTTCAAAACCTACATATCACAATAAAATTATATAAATTAGATACACCTACTAGTCCAATAATCAATTGCAAGAATGTACCTGCTTACAAATTAGTAAAACATTTAACAACAACATTATACAAATTTTTACACAAACAAATATTATAATAGATCGGGACTGTTGTCACCCATACGAACACAAACTGTCAAGGATGTTACCTATTAACCTTCAAATGCCGGACTTTTGACATGGTGGTAGACTGAGCTAGCCGGAGTTTATTTAAATGCCCGTAGTTGCTCGGCAATTAAATGTCTGTTCCTGTTAGGGCGCTTGCACTGCATTTGAAAATGCTGTATCTAATACGATTTTTATGATAAATTAACGGAATTAACTTTGTTTTTATCAGCAAAGAATACAGTGTCGCATATATGATATAAGATTTGAAAATATGTAGACAAAGGAGTTATAAAACACTTTTAATTTTTTCTTCTAATTTTGATGTGTACTGTAAAAAGTTTCCCATTTCTTCACACAGTAGTTCTGCATTATAAAATCACTCCTACTTGTAACGCTTGAAATATTTCGCATTCTCTGGTACCATAAAACAGCTGGAAGCAATGAAGTCATTTGGTTCTCTGCTGGCAAGTTTCACGTCTTTGTTACACATTTCAGATATCCCAGTCTTTTGACTGAAGGACAGAAAAGCGAAAATATGACCGTTCAATAAAGGTTATACGGGGAATATTCACTGTTCCCTAATTCAGTGCCCAGCCCTGCCATTGCAGCTGAGATACAGAGTGCATTCAGTTTTCTGTAAGTTCACAGTAAACTTGAATATTGTAGTTTCATTTTATCATACAATGGCAATGAAACATTGTTTGGAAGATGATGAAATTGAAAGAGAGATGAAATATATGCTATGTGACATAGGACTGTGCTTTCTCATGTGCTCCAAGGAGTATTACACAAAGGCAAGATTCAGTTACATGACATGGGGGATGAAGCCTGTACATACGTCGAGCAGATAACAAAAAAATGTATGTATATTGAATTTTACTATATTTAAAAATAAATATTTAGGATTGTGCATATGTTTCTACTAGTGACATGTGTGCACACTTCCACTAGCGGCATTTAGATGCCTGACTGCACAAATTGGGGTACTTTGGCCATGACAACAATACTCATCAGTGTACTGTTCGGTGCACTTCGGACACTAAAGGTTAAACAGACTACACACATATCCAATAACCAAAGAAGCAAAAGAAACAACATTAAACACCATTAAAAGCATATTACAAAACATCAGTACAATATTTGACCCCACCCCCCAATTTTCCGACCTTTTACAAAAAAAAAATTAATCCTCAACACTGAAAAATTGAGCTACCTTTATATTCAGCAGGAAAGAAGTAAGAAAACTCATAAAACTCTTCCAAGACCCTAAAATAAAAACATCTTTCTGCATACAAAGCATAACAAGGCCTCATTCACAAACAATAAATACAGCAGGAGCAGAATTTATCAAATGAAAGCCTACACTCGCCATTAAAATACATAGGATAGGGAGAAAATTCAATACCAGATATAAAGAACGTATTATCCAAAACGTCCTCAAATGAAGAAATTGATGAACCACAGAGCAAACGCTTGCATCTTGACAATGTAGGAGACGTAAAAAGATGCTTCAGAAAACTTTATTATGAAATTTTTGATAATGTTGTGAATCAAATTGAATTAAGATTTCAGAACTTAGAAAAGCTAAAATTTCTAGAATTAATACATTCTAGTTGCAGTAAGAAGTATGAAAAGACATTTCATGAAATTCCTTTTTTGTCACTGAAAACCGCGTATGGTCAGCATTTCAATTTTCCTCATTTAAGAAGTGAACTGAGTGTATTTTGATTTTAATGAATATTTAAACATCCTGAATGCAAGTCAGCTTTTGCTACATCTAAAAACTACAAACATCAACAGTGCACTACACCAGCTGACAAAGTTATGTGAACTGATCGTTACAATTCCTGCAAGTAGTGCTTCGGTTAAATGTTCATTTTCTGCACTGAAGAGAATTAAAACTTATTCGAGGAACTCTCGGGGGGAAGGTAGAATGTTCAGGTTGTCTCTATTGTCCACTGAGAGGAAATTATTGGAAAACATTTGCAACAGTGAAGGTTCCTACGACCATGTCATCAATAATTCTGCTGCTAAGGATCAGAGAATAGAGTTGGTCTTCAAATAAATTTTGGTGAGTTGATTGCTATCAGTTCGTTTATTAGATACCACTGCTTCCCTTACCAAAACATAGTACTGCACGCCACTGCACAGGACATACACATGGCACTATAGCCAACATCACTGACATTATAAAGAGAGGAGAGAAAGTGTAATATTTACACAGTTAATAAGTATACCATGTTTATGGGAACGGAACAGGCAAACTGCAAATCAACAACACCTACATTGATGCTTACAGTCTACTATTCAAAGCCTTAGACAGACTATAGATCATGTAACATTCCCCCTCCCCGCACGCACACGTAAATACAACCATATACAACAATACAGTTTAAATAGTAATTAATACACACCACATAAAATACAATGTACAACATACTGTTGGTATATTACAGGAAACAAAAATAATCCAGAAGATATATAAACATTGCTGCCATGACAACAAGAGGGAACACAAGAGGGAAGAATATAGAAAAAAAACACAACACCGAATTTTCATACAATATTAACAAGAATCACACTTGTTTTTTTTTTTAAAAATAAACTTTCTGACTTACATGTCTTGCATACCATGAAAAATTAAGAGTGATGTGTAGCAATTTATATGAATAATTATATATATATACCTGATAATAGTCTATTTTGGCTGAAATGGCTCATCATAAATATATACATAAATATGGACTATGTGGTTTTCTAACCAACAACCTATGAATTGCTGCATTTACAAAACTATATTACACATGTCACAGTATATCTATGTATTATAAGCTTATGAGTATTATTCAAAATACTAGTCAGTTAATAATATCACACAATCATAACTGCAAGTTCCACAAATCAAAGCAAATGGTTATCAGACACTGAAAGCAACACTTTTATAGTATCATCCATTCCAAGAAAGTATGGAAAGAAAAGGAATCCTTTCACATATACTTGTAAATGTAAATATTGTTATATGTAAATTGAACTGGACCAAATACTAAACGTACACATTTGAATATCACCTAACCACCCTTTGGCTAGGGCGCGCACGCACACATATTTGCTCAATTTCAGGCCATCATCTGCTGCTATTACTGTTTAGTTTGTCAAAATAATTTTAGATTTCTTTTGTATTTTCAGTCAGTAACGAATAATTTCAACACCTCAATATTTCAAACTTTAAGTATCAGGCACCAGCATTCACAAACATTAAGGAAGTTCAAAATGAAATATAAAAAATTTTAATTCTGAAAATGTTGTTATGGTAGTTTAACATACATACTTTCTGGACACTAAAAATCATTCACTCACTCATGGAGCTGAGCCCTTCTTGAAAAGCTGCCAATTGTGCAGCTAGTCACAGAGCTTCCCAGCGTTTTATGGAACCCAAAGGGTCATTACCGTGTTCACGAGAGCCCTCCACTGTTCCCTATCCTGAGCCAGATGTATCCACTCCATACCATCCCATCCTACCTCTCTAAGATCCAATATAGAATATAATCAACAACAAAAATTTTTTTNTCCTACCTCTCTAAGATCCAATATAGAATATAATCAACAACAAAAAATAATTTTTTCCAGTTTTGTATGTGTGAAACATGGTATTTTAGTTTCAGAAAATAACATGAACTATGTTTCAAAACAAAGCATTTAAATCTGAGATCGATGAATTTCATGATAAATTAAGTATTTACATGAGGACCTTCAGGATTCTTACAGATTGCCCAGTAATGTTAGGACAGTGATATACATGAGACTATGTTATATTGGACCTGAAGCTAGGATGGGAGGCAACAATGAATAGATACAAAATATCTGTGTAAAAATCCTCTTGGAAAGTGGCCATTCAAATGACTAAGACTAGAAGATGGACAGATGATATTGTGACATGAGGGCTGAAGGCCAGAATAGTGCAACCAGAAGAGACAGCTGCTGCTATGCAGTGGCAAGGTAAACGCCTCTCCATAGCAACAAACACACATGCAACAGTAGAGGAACTTCTGGGCTACTGCTAGGCAATGCAGTGTGTTCTACATGGTCTGTGCCAAGGCTATATAACATGGATTTGAATCTCCTCTCATTCAGGAAAAATATAAAATGCTTAAACTTGGCAGCGGTCAAGCTTATGACCATTTAAGTGACTAAGCTACCGTTGTAGCATAAGATAAATGAGATAGGCACCATCTGCTTTGTAAAGAATGGACTGACAGAAGACTTCCTTATAGTGCATAAGAATTGATTTTCAACAACATGCTATATGTGTGATATGTACACTTGACAAAGGACAAGCATATTACATAATAAGAAACAAACCTGTCACCTTGCCAGAGAGCATGTTACACAAAGAGAGCTTGGGGGGGGGAGAACTCTAGTAGTGAGATTCAAAAGGCTAGGCACCAAGATGAACTGATTGGTGGTAAACTGCTAGTTATAAAATAACTCTGACTCTGGTCGAACAGGAGACCCCATTTCCAAACACACAAATAGTCTTGGAACCAACTTACATTAGGTCATTGGTCCCAACAGGGTTCAAAACCAAGAACGACTCTGCTGGGGAAGGCCTGCAACAATTTACTGAACGAGAGTGGAGTGAACTGGACTGGTTAGTCAGTCATGGCTAGGTCATGAGAGAGTGGTGAGGCTGCAGATAACCAGTAAGGACAACAGCATAAAAGCAGAGGAACCTCCAATACTGCTAGCCACTACCCATCAACAACCAGTGAAGATTATTATAGACTGAGACTAAGGAAGTGCTGTAGTGATCTGCAGTGTGTGTAGATCTGTGAAACTCTTATAGTTAATTGCAGTTAAAAGTTACAAGTGTTCAATAAACACAATTAACAATCCAAACCCGGTGTCTAGTCACTAATGCAAGCCAATATAAAGATGGATCTTAAGGAAATAGGTTATGAGATGGAGTCAGGTGGAACTGATTGCGTATTGTTCCTAACAGTAGGCTTTCGCATTAGCGGTGTTGATTTCTGGGTTCACTGCCAGAATTTGTCAGAAATAAATGAACAAAAATACAGAGTACAGGTAACAAAAAGTAACCATGATCACACAAGGAAAGCACAAGACTCTTGCTATGGCCTGGAAGGTCTGTAAAATTCTTACTAAATTAGAAGTATGAAATAAAGATGGCGATTTGATGAATTGCTTGATATGTTGAACTGAATCTGAGGCTTATGTATGAAAAATCTCACTCCCTATCCCACAGAAGAAGGCAAGAAATTTTACAAATTTAATGATTAAAGTACAGCCAGTAGATATTAACACATTACACACAGTTGTCTGATGCAATCAACACAGTTGTCAGATATATTTATCATCTTCGCCATTCTGACAGAAATTCTGCTTTGATAAAGTAGTCCTACCGTGAATATCCCAGAGAAGCAGCCAAATGAAGAAGTGTCATTCCTCTGTGGCTTGAAAACCATGACGGATTTACTTCTTCCCCTGACCTCCATGGTCTGCTAGTCATCTCTTGGCAGTAACTCACTAGTCGATCTTCAAAGTTACTTTGACTGAACAATGCAGAACCTTCTACCTGAAATAGCACTTAGTTTTTGCATGTTGTTACTATAAAGCATTTTTCTTCTAATCGATTTTAATTCATCTAGGTACATAAAATTAGGACAGACAGACATGTAGCTAAGATTCATAACTAAATATAAAATACAGTCTGTATCAGTGGAATCAATTTTTGGATTTACATTCAAATAGTATATGGACTGGATTGAAATTATTCAAAATAGGTCTCAACAGGAGGCCACAGTATTGGCAGTCAATATTCAGGTTATAATGACAAAACATAAGTCATTTAAAAATGCTAAAAAGGAAATACTGTAATCAGTATGATTTTTGTATGATATCAAATGTATAATGAAACAGCACATGCTGAATGCCTTACAAAGATTTTATGTAGTGATACCTCAAATTTACACATAACAGATTCTCTCTGCTGGCATAGCTACCATAACAAGATAAGGCCTGTTACCTTATTATTAAAAACAATGCTAAAATAATTTCTTTCTTTCAAATGAAGAATATTTAATACAAGAGAAGTTGGATATAGGAATATTAACAATTGCTTACAAGAGGGTACGCAGTATTTGCAGTAACTGTAAGGTAACTAGCAAATGAGAGAGTTTAATTCTTTCTTTATAACTTTGCTGAAGGCTGTAAGTTACTGAAAAGGCTAACAGAGAAGGTACAGAAGACTAATCAGAAATTTACATATTCAAGCAACAAACCACTCACTAATTCTGAGCCATCAGGTTCCTGCTTTATCTGCAGGCGGTCATCAATTGCCTCTAATCGCTGCAGAAGAGTAAATTTCAGAAGATTGTCACTGCTACTTCGCTCAAGCTTAGGCTCACAGGCAGAGGCCTGATCTTCCCTTGCTGGTTCCTTGTATTCAAATATCACAGAATTGGAAATGACAAAACCCTCACAAGCAACTTGAAGTGTAGCCAAGCCAACTTCATGGGCTGCAAAGAGAGATCAATTTATCATACTCATGAGTATGTCCACATGAATACTGATATGTAAATAGATAATGTGAGGCCAGTTCATTAAATGACTGGCAGAAAAGGGGTTAAGAAATAAATTTCTGAGACCCAGTTAAGCTAGTGGCAATATTTTGCAATACTGTGTAAACATTTAAGAATGTTTCTACCTTTACATTTATGTAGAAACTGATATTGGCTGATGTGTATTTCACAAGATACCCAGCAGATGACAAGAGTTACAAGAAAAAAATACGTAAATAAGATCTAAACGTTTGTGACAATGTTATATCAATATAGTTATTGTGTTTCTGGATATTATCCATCATCCTGCTTTTATTTAAAATACACGTTTCAGAGACTGGATTCTGTCTCTGTCTTCAGGTGGAACTTACTCAGCTGGGCTCAATCGATAGAGCTAGTCCCAATCTCTGGACACCAGCATCTGTAAGACCTTTGCTTCTTTCCAGCATATTCTTGGACTTCTTCACATGCACACTGGGCTAATTTTGACTTTTTCTAGAAATACAAGGAATTTGCCCACATGTCTCTGGTAGATCATCGATCATAAACCCAACTTTGACATCTCACCTATCTGGACTCCCATTATTGCAGCATAAATCAGAAAACTACATCTCCATCCAGCATAGATTATGTGTGAAAGTCGTGTTTTTAAGCTGGTACCATACAGATAATTTATCTGTTTAGTGATAATTTCTAGTCTTATAGTACTCTGATTTTAGCAATGGTAGCCATGAAACAGTGCATAGACATAGGTACGAGGCCTCATAAGTATGTGGAGTTTTTAATGTATTTAATATTTGTCTTAAAACGTAAAGATGGTTTGTGCTGTGTTTGGTTTGATGCTGGCGTCCAGAGGTAGGGACCAGGTCCATCAACTGGGTTCAATTGAGTAGGTTCCACCTGAAGACAGAGACAGAATCCAGTCTCCAAAATTCCATATGTTTTAAATAAAAACAGGATGATGTTTGTCCACAAATATAATAATTAAATAATTAAATGTAATTCAAAGCCATTCCTATATACTTGGTTATATATATATGGTTCATGTGCTGTCTCTTCTGCTTCAGACTAGTTGTTTGGCATCCGCTGTATAGTGCTGGTTGTTTAAGTTTTTAGTTCTCTCTGGTTTTCATGGTTTCCTTATTCTTGAGTTGTCCTGTATGTGTGGTTTGGTACACTGTGTCTTCTAGGTATTCCTCAGCCGCTTTGGCCTATGCTGTCATACATGTATTTCTGGTTATTAATCTGAAATAATTGCTTATTGCAGATGTTGCTGAGGAGTTCTGTGTGAAATTCAACAGACCTCTTCCTCAAGAGCATCTACAATAAGCACGATTATTACAAATTTATAGTACCTGGGCAGTAACACCTGAGCACCCCACTTTGCACCAATGTTGTTGGAACAGGGAATGTGTCAAACAGCACTGTATATGGAGAAGTAGTTGAATACCATGGTCCAGTCACAAGTACTTTCACTCCACCCTGTAGAATGTGATAAAAAAATCTTAATTTGTGAATAAACAAGCATATTACAGAGACACAACATTGAGTACTGGGAAGCTACCAGCAATGAGGCCACCAGATATGACAGTTTGGATTATTACTTATACATGTATATGAAAAGCTTTATTTATGAAATGATGATATCATGCTTCACATGGCAACCAGCTATTTTTTTAAAAGAATGACACTATGCCTAAGAGAAAGTAATTGCCACTTTGAGCCCACACAGTAATAAATTACTGACTAAATAAAAACTGAAAACAGTAAACAAATCTAACAACCTGTACTGGCCACTGTCTGCAATCATTAAAATAATATTCCTTCAATAAAAACTGTAAAACAGGATATATAAAATGTATACAAAAGTATGCAGTCTACACAACAGTATTATGTATTTAAAACAAAGTAGACACTATCATATCAATATTTGCTTTTATTGACAATTTTTGTCACTTCTCACATAAGTTAGGTTATGTGGTCTTGACCTTACTATCGTCTTGTGGAGTTATAGTCGCCCCTACCACCAGAAAATCATGACAACACGTAGCGGTCATAAAGTTTTAAAGAGCTTTATCACAAAATATTTCATTTCCATTTAGTAAAATTTTAATATTTATGTTTTAATCTTTAGTCTCGAATTTCTTTAAATTTTATTATCTGAATATTTTAAAATTTTAACTGAAAAACTCAATTTATACATTTAAAAACACTCAAGTGCACAATGAGGTTCCATATTGAAGAATTAGATGCAAATTGTTAGAAGCAATTCAACAAATGAGTCTGGTATTATTGTACGCCTGATGATGACCCAGTACATGGGCCAAAACATGTAGCATCAATAAAAACAAATACTGATACGATAGTGTCTACTTTGTTTTAAATGGTTACACTATTTTTGACTTTACAATGATGTCCAAGGAACACTGTGAAGTACTGACTTAATGTCTTGGGAAACCTGTAAACTGCTGAATGATAGAATGCCCTGTGAATAAGAACTGGAAAGGATGTGGAAAGAAGTGATCATTGCCTAGTATTAAAACATTCTCCTGGCATTTTCTGGAGGGACTGATGTACACAACAGAAAACCTCAGGATAGCCAATCTCTGGAGGATTTCCCAAGTATGAAGCAAGAGTGTTACCTATTCAACTGTAACACCTGGTGGTGTGAGATTATTTTAAGACAATAAAGGTGCTGTGCTGATGCCTTTTTATGTCTCTCCTTCACCTCCTGCCCAACAACTGCTTCCATTGAGCCACAGTAAGTAACAATCAAAGAAGTTTTATTAAACTATCTACATAGAAAGCCACCACATAAGGACTAGTGAAATAGACTTTCATATTTATAAAGCTCATGGTCACTAAAATAAGATGAACTGCACAACCAGAAAGATCACAAATATATGTTTTTATAGCCACCAAATTAAAACAGTTGTGTTCATTGCAAGCAGAAGTGATCTGTCAACTGTGACTGCTGGCAAAGTTAGTGTTCACTTTCCAACCACACTGTTTGCTTGCACGTTTCCTTGTATCTGTGCACCATTATCTTGTTAAGACCTTTCCTTCTTGTGCATTTTGATGTTAAAAACTTTCCAAGATTGGTATTGGAACAAAATACAATCACTGACTTTTTTGTGATTACCAATCTTTCTGTCTTTCATTTAGGGAAAAAAAAAAGTTTTGGAGACTGGACTCTTGCCTCCATCATCAGGAAAGTAGCCCACTCAGTTGGTCCCAACTGTCAAAGATACTCCCTATGCCCAGATACCAGAACCAATACAAGGCAGAACATAAAAAAAAAGTAAAGCTATCCCTGTAACAGGCCATGAAGGCCCATAGGGTTGTTATAAGTTGAGGGTCCCACATTATCTAGACAATCGGCTCAAAGATGGCGGTAAGGTTGTCAGCCTTCCATTCCAGCCGCGCTTTACTCCCAGGAAAATTATTTAATTAATTCCTGGTACTCATTTCTGTTAGAGGCTGAGTTGACCCCAGGGCCATAGTGCGGCCGGAAGGATTAGGTCAAGTGAAAAAATGCAATGACCTCATTGGGACTTTAACCTTCAACTTTCTGGCTTGTAGCATAGTGCCTCAACCAACTATGCTACCAAGGCAGGATATATACACAATATAAACCATCTGCAGCATAATGCCACAGGTGTGGGACCTACAGATTGTACAGATCCTACTCAGGTGCCATACGAAGAGAGTGGTAACATTAACACGTCATTTGATGGAGAATATACACAGTTATGGATTCATAGACATTCCACATGCCACTTTAATAACATGAATTCTATAGGTGAGTACAATGACTGATCCACAACCATTGCTTACATACATAACACCAAGAGATGCATGTATTCCACTCAGCCTGAAATGTTGTGCATGTACATAGGTATCAGTACTATTTAAACTGCTTCTTGTGTTATGCCTGTTTCTGAAGTTGGGTGGAAGTTCATGCATTTATTTGCATCTGTATGCATGAGCAGTTAATTATAGGTAGAACGTGAGTGAGACTTGTAAGTGGAATATGCTTGATCAGTGCTTGTGAGGGTGCAGAAAATAGTGAGTGGGACTTCACTGATAAAGGTTGGCTCCTAATTAATTGAGGTTATGTAAATGTAAGAGACTCTTTAATTCTTTAGTTCAAGTGAGAATACTAATTATTCTTAATTATTTTTATATCCCTGTCTTAATACCTTCAAACAAGAAGAAATACTGAATATTTACCTCAGAGTCATATTGTATTGCACATAATTTGAAGTTAGGGGATGGACTTAAAACAGTTATGTATTCAAGCCATATCTTTGGACATACAAGCACACATCACAACAAGTATTGTTTTTTAGGAACTTTGTAACTTCTCATAACACTCAGGTTCCATTGTTTCTTGCTCAAATCCTCTCCAGAGAGGAAAACTGTAGATGTCAAAGTGCAGTTTTAAACAACCAGACTCCTCTATAGTAGTGTGGACATGACATCTGTAATCCATCTAACTAATTTATGGGAACAAAATTCAATGGAGGAGACTTCCTGAATTATAAGTGCCTTCCTACAGAGAGGTATTCTAATTTGCAACTGAAGTCATCTGCTTGTACAGGTAAGCTCAGAAGCATCTGCATTCATGAACAAGCTGATACATGGATAAAGCTGATCAAATCAGCTACATGAAACTAGCTGTACAAGAATATTTCACTTCTATCACCTAAATAACCACAACTAGTGAGATGCACAGAAACCACAGAAAAGTCCAGCAATCCCATTACAAAGTTTGTATATTTCATATTTCTGATTTATTAAAATTTGTTTTAAATTTATGTTTAAATACAACATTTTGCTCTTCTATTTTGTCTTTTTAACAAACAATGTTGAGTACCTCTGAAGCAATGAAGTGTTTATGAATGAAGAAAGTTACAGTGCTTTCTTTTCTAATATAATTTTGAGACGTTGTACTATATGGTGACATGCTGACCTCAGGATAGGCCCACTCTGGTGAGTAGTCAGTAATGTTTGCTGTGCCTTCTCGATAATCCATTCTTGGTGATGCTTGTTCATTCCCCTTATCCACAGAAGATGTGGTTGTAACAGACTTTCTTCCTTGAGTTGAAGGAGGTTCAGGAGTACTATGGTCCATTCCTGTGGTGCCAGATTTGTTAGCTCCTGCTGTATTGCTTTCTGCTGAAGATTCGAGAATCTCCAGCTCTGGAAAGTCTCCCAGCATGTCAAATGCATCTAGATTGACAAACACATCGTCATCCACCTGGAATGAAAGATGATTTCTGATGATGAAAGTGACATTTTGAGATATCTTATAATTTGAAGAGCCTTTACCTTAAGAACACAGTATCTATTTTATATGAAGTTTTACCAGGTCCTGTTTAAACAGTTCTGTTAATTCTGAACAATACTTACTTGATTTTAAACTAAAGTAGTTCATAACTGAAAGATGAATCTACATAAATGATACTGTTACATATGATTTACAGATGACCTTTGTGAGAAAGGTATTAGTGCCTGTTTACAAACTAAGCCATTCATAAAATATTGTATTCAGACAGCAAACATAGTTGGCACAAAACACTTACCATAAACAAGATAACACCTACCTGAGAAAAATGAGAATAAAAAGAGGTGGAAGAATTTTTTAACAAGGCCACTCTGGGGCCTTTAGCCAGAACCTCTTGCTCTGGGTACTATGGCCCTTCAACACGAAGATCATGACCCAGATCAGGTGGTTAATCACTGGTATCCCACTGCAGTGGTCTGGGTTTGATCCCAGGCATCATGTGGGATTAGTGACAGAAAAAGTGGCACTGGGGCAGGGTTTATCCAAGTGCCTTGCGTTCCTTGGTAATTATCATTCAACCAACTGTTTCACATTCATTAATCATCATCGTGTTAATGCTATATAATCTTAATATTGAAATTGTAGTTAAATAGCTTAAAAGAAGCACAGTGGCAAGGAAAATGGTCTAATTTGGTGGCCTTAACAATATGGTTCTGAAAACTTGGGAAAAACCAACATTCAGCAAGCAGCAAGCATGGCTCTGCTGCACATAAAATTATAAGACACACTGCTCACGTCCCTGAAGACAGTATTTTTCATTACTAAGAACAGGTTTTTGGAAATTCTTAGAAATAAAAATATTGCAGTGTCACAAAATTAATATTATTTGGTTGCTCTCTAAGACTGTTTTATATGAAATACAAACCTGTGTTGGTGATACAACTACATCACAGCTGTCAATGAAATCCATTGGGTTGATTTCTGGGACTATGACATCATCAGGGGACATCTCATCTCCACTGGAAGGAGCCATAGATTTGGACGCAATAATATGATGAGCACTTGTAACCATACTGCCACCACTGTGGCAGTGCTGGTTCAATTCTGCAGAACATGACAGAGGCATGTTGGCAGATAATGTTCTTTGGATATCTTCTTGGGACAGGTCTAAAGTTTCATTAAAGAAACCACCAACCAATGAAACAGTATCTGTGTTTTTAATGCAAGAATTTGAGCTTGAACTAATAACTAGAACAGTATCACTGCCATGGTATGTTGGTTTGATATCCATCAGGTCTTCTCCACTTGTGTCCATGTGTTTGGCTGGGGTGGGTGGAGCACTGTTCATGGAGGAAGTTGAATTTGTTGATAATGTTACATGCTGTTGCTTTGGTGTTGCTGATCTCAGAATGTTCTTGTCTCGACTACTACTTAAGTATGTCACACCACTACTGTCAAACCCTGATGAAACATTCCCATTTGTGACATCCATTTTGTTACTACTATTGATATTAATATTGTTGTTGTTATTGTTGTTGTTAAGGTTCAGCACAGTACTACTGGTGTTGTTTTCAGATCCTGAGGCCTGGTGACAACAAGATGGTGATGAGCTTGTTTCCATGGCTTCCTGCTTCAAGACTACTGCTGCTGGTGATGTGGATTTTGGTAAGTCTTTTGCATGTTGCTGATTTTGATGATGCTGATGATTCCGATGGTGATGTGTTGAACCGGTGCTGCAGACAAAGGAGGTGACAGCAACAGGAGAAACTAAGGATTGATGTGTTGGGTTGGTTGAATTGCCCCCGGTGGAACTATTGAGGATAAGCAGGCCTCCACCACCCTGGATCTGGGATAAACTGAGAACAAGTGGAGGAGTTGACGTAGTGGTTGCGTTGACAGAACTGCTATTAGATGAACTATGATTGCTACTATGATGATGGGAATGCTGTTGTTGTTGCTGCTGCTGATGGGAATGATGGGAGAGTAAGGAGATCCCATCTCGGGAATGGAGACGTGTCGAACTGCTTGCATTGCTAGAAGCAGCGGTGAGGATCATGCTTCCTGAGCCAGTTGTGGAAGAAACCTGCATATGAACAGTCACGTCCCTTAAGCAATTTATAATAAAATATAACAATTCTGAGTGGGTAATCACAATAAAGTTTAATGATTTTGTGAAGAGTTAAACTTCATTACTCTTGAATAAGGTCCTCCACTGGTGAATTATTTTCTTTGATTTTTAGCACTGTTTCGGAGGGATTCATTTACAGAGGAACCCCAATTTCATGTTCCTCAATTTAAGGTTCTCCCTCATTTATTATCCAATTTAAATGATCTGAAGTCAAGAATCATGGAAGTAAATTACTTCCACACATGAGAGAATTTAGTGCTCAAATCCACTACTCTCCAGCAAAGCCATAAATGGGGTTTACAATGTATAAATGTGGAGTCAAAAATTCAGTTGCTAAAAGTAACATAAAAATCTATTTCCAACACATTCCAAACTGTCTTGAATTACAGGCAATCACATTCATGGACACCATGATACAAGGAAAAGATCAATAAAAATTTATACTAGGTAAAGGTAAAAAGGTAAATTTGTCCCTGAGCTTAACTAATTGAGCATTATGCCATGAAGACATATGGGGGAGTGCATATAGACTTTGGCACTAGTTGGAGGTCAGTAATTGATACTAGGTATAAATAATTATTTCCATATTAAACTGTGGCCATAATATGAACCAGCTCAAACTGTACAAGTCAATTCAATTCTTGGGAGGCATACACCACTTGGATGTGGGAAGTGTTGCCAACAGTTTGGAGGTGCCAGCTGCCTCTATTTCCACCATCAGAATGTGTATGGGGTGGATTTACACACGCATGCCTGTGCACATGGACACATCTGTATTACTTTGAATATAAGACACACATTTTTCACATATATTCCCATTAAAAAACTGGGTCGCATCTTAAATTCGAGGAATTATTCACCAGTTTGCAAACTGTCCATGGGGTAGCCTGGAAAGAACCTAACCTAAACACACTTGGAGTGAGTCACCAAGCCACATCATCCCCAACCAACCTTTAACTGTGAGTCAACCCTCAATGCTCAGTTCAGTCATTGCCTAACACTCTTTTTCAGGTGTGTTCAGCTGTCAATCAGATTTTACCCACTGAAAAGTGTTTTACATATGATGTCGCATTCAAAAGAATGTGTGCTGAAGAGACATGTAATCATTCAGCTGGTAGAAAGTATACAGTACATGAGGCATATGTTCATCATTGGCAAAGCACAAAGCAAAACTGTTTTCATGTCTGACAAATAGTATTCTTCTGGACCAAGGAAAGGGAGAAATCCTGAGATTGATGCCTCTATTTTAGGGCGTTCCAAAGATTTATGAAATAAAGGATTACCTATAACTAGAGAAGACTTAATGTCAAAAGCAAAAGAGTGTGCTCGAAACAATGGTATACTTTTCAAGGCTAGTCATGGATGGTGTGAAAAGTCTGTGAGGACAGGAAGCTTATCCTTTGAATAAAGGACGACAAATAGCCAAAAATTTCCTTCAGAATTTGAAACTGAACTTATTGAATTTGAATATTTTGTTATTGGACTATGTCAAAGGAATATGTATTCCTTAAGTCAAATCAGCAATGCTGACAAAACTAAAGTATTTTTGACATGCCTCACAATTATACTGTAAATTTCAAAGGGGAAAAACAAGTGGCAATGAAAACCACAGGCTACAAAAAGTTACGTGTTAGTTATGCTGTGTATAACCGCAAGTTGCAATAAATTACCACCGTATGTAATACTAAAAAGGAAGATAGTGCCAACAGGACAGTTTTGCAAAGATGTCATAGTTTGGGCCCAAAGAATGCATGGATAACATCAGAGTTAGTGGAACACTGGCTTAGATGTGTACAGGAACATGGGCCTGCTGCATTATCAAAATTACAGAGCATGCTTGCAATAGATGCATTTCACGGCCATCTCTCTAATAGATTCAAAACAGGTTAAGGAACAAAAACACCAAACTAGTGATAATTCCTAGTGGCATAACAAATCAGTTACAACAACTTGATGTTTCAATTAACAGACCATTCAAACAGCTTGTCTGTAAACACTATGATGCCTGGCTGAATAAAGTCAATCATATATTGACACTTAGTGGCAAAGTAAAAAGAGTATCAGCGTCAGTAATAATGGTGTGTATATCTAAAGCTTGGAAAGATGTGCCACTCAATATTATTCCATAATTGTTTTCAAAGTACTGTTTGTATAATGAGGAAGATGGAATGCAAGCCAACATTCTTTGGGACAGTAGTGAGCAAAGTGGTGAGGATACATCATCTTCAGAAAATGAAATTGCGACTGAAAGATCTTTGGACAAGCTTTCTGATTAAATAAAAAAAAGATGGCAAGGAATGTGCATGTAGTGAAAATTTTAAATTTCCATTTCATTCTGATATATTTTCCACAATTTTCATTTTACATGTGTTCTACCTACTTTTCATATTAATTTCTTTTCTACATATATTGTTATTTTAATTTACATGTAAACTCACTAAAATAAATAGACCTTTATGATCTTTTCACAAAACCCTCATTTAAAAATTGGATGCATCTTAAATTAGATGGTGTCTTATATTCAAAGTAATATGGTACACAAGCCCGCAAGCATGCGCACATGCACACCCCCAGCACGCATATATATTATTTTTGTTTCGAAAGTATGAGGGGGATGCCTCAGCTGGGTTGATAGGGGTAGTGGGCAGGGAGAGTTGTGAAAATAAAGAAATGGCCCATATAAGGGTCACAGGGCACACTCCAAACTAAAGACAAAGATAGCACTGGCAACACTGCCACACTCACACAGTGAAAACACCCAAGGGCTGAATTACCATCAACATTTATTCAGTGTGAAAACATAAGATTAGTAATAGTTCAAACTATTCCTCTGAAATATGACAGCAGCTATGAAAGAGTTTAGGAATGTAAATACAATACATACGATATGATAGCTATGGGGTCATTCCATGTGAAGTCATTGAGACAAATCACTCGACCTTAAAAAAAATTATACACTTATTTATACATATTTTCATACTTCAAAAATATTAAAAAAAATTAATCCGCTCGGTTCTCCTGGTACAGCCGTTTTTATAATGCGAAAAAACGTGTTTGTGATGTAATGGAGGTCTGCGTTATCTTCTATATCTCAGTAACTTCTGATACTAGAGACTCCAATAAGAAACCAATTTATTCCCCATGATATGGACTACAATTCATATCATTACCAGTTTTTATTCAACTCACTTCCTCTAGGTCTAATTAAGCTTGAAACTTATCTAACGATTTTTGGAAAAAAGCTACTTCTGACTTTCATAAACCAATGGGTGGGGGAAAGTATCAGATCTGTGGTTTCTACCCTTTGTTGTTGTCTACATGGGGAATATAATCATGGAGTTTCGAACCCCGTATCTATTTTCCAAAATTCTCCAGGAGCGAGTTTTGATTTTCAGGCCTGTACTTACTGCTCGGATTGACAAAAGATAAATCTCTTGTCTTTTATACCGAATAAAGAACTAGTAATACCATTGGATGCAGGTAAGCCAATTCTTGAGGTGTTGATTTTTTGTGTAAAATTCGAAGTTCCTCTAGAATAGAGCATTACTGGCTATTGATTTCAATATTTTCAGAGCTTCCCCACTGGAGATATGAGATGTTAAATATGACCGATTTTGGGCCCAGAGCAAAGGTTGGAAGCTCCTGGAAAATTCTGAAAAATAGATATGGGGTTCAAAACTACGTGATTATATTCCCCATGTAGATGACAACAACAAAGGGTAGAAACCACAGATCTGGCACTTTCCCCATCCTATTGACTTTTTAAGGTCAAACATAGTTTTTTCTCCAAAAATCGATAGGTAAGTTCCAAGCTTAATTAGACCTAGAGGAAGTGAGTAAAAACTTGTAATCATATGAATTGTATTCCATATCATGAGGAACAAATTGTTTTTTTTTTGTTGGAGTGTCTAGTATCAATAGTTATCGAGATATAGAAGATAACACAAACCTCCATTTCACCTGAAAACGCGTTTTTTGCATTATAAAGACGCTGTACCGGGAGAACAGAGAGGATTAAATTTTTTTGAATTATGAAAATATGTAGTAACAAGCATACAAAATATACATTTTTTTTTAAAAAATGGTCGAGCAACCTATCTGGATGACTTCACATGGAATGACCCTATGTTCAAACAAAATCTACTCAACCATAGTAAGAGAGAACCATCTGAATGTAATAAAACACACTAATTTACTGCTGAATGTTAACTCTGAACACAAACTGCATACCAATTTCTGTCTTGGAACTATACATTCAAAGGCCCAGTTTTACCAACGCATGTAGAGCTTCATACATTGCAATGTGTTAAGGAATGTACCTGGTTGTTGTTCTCAGTGTTGAGGGCAGACATACTAACAACAGCCTGTCGGGTATTGGAACTGGATGTAAGGTTGGTGGCACTCCCAGCCTTGGCTGCTGTTATCCGTCGCATTGGATGGGAACACGTCTTTCCGTCAGCACATGTTGAATCTGGACAACCACATTCAAGCTGCTTGGTGAGTGCTGCTGCTCGAGCCAGACGCTGTTTTTCCATGAGCTGAGTCACTATCGCTTCCACTGTCTCTGCTGTCTGCAAAACATCATCCGATTTGTAATGCATCATCAACGATATCTTGCAACTATATGATTTCATTTGTAATGCATTTTTGGCATTCAGTACATAAAGCAATACACAACAGGGATATTATGTCTGTCTGTCTACTAACTCACTGCATAATAATGAGCCTGTATCCAGGTCTTAGAGAAAGGCCAAAGAGTTAGTTACCTCACAAGTGTAGCTTGGTTTTCTCCATGCAGTTTCATGCTTTTGGTCATTTAAGTAGGACTCCAAGACAGCTAAAGTATATTATTTAAGAAAGTCTGAAAGAGTTAATAATGTTACTTAAGACAGTCTTAATGAGTTAATACACTTGTTTCAGCTTCTACCTACTTCATGGATTTTGATAAAATTTGTTGTAAGAGATCTATTTTCAACATTGACGGGTGAACCCCATTTTGGTGCATAATGGTCCTACTTTAATAACATAGTGTCTGCCACTCTTCTGTTACATACAGTTTATTGTATAAAGTGATATATTGGTTCTTTACATGACTTATCACCATGGAACGCTACAGCAGTAAATAACAAAAAAGACATGTACTGCCACATCATTCATTTAAATATAGAACCTGAATTTAATAATATGACAGAATAATTCAGTGTTTGTTTCTTGCAGTACACTACTTTTTATGTTAGTTGAGAAAGCATCTTACCGATATTTCCAGCTCATTGTTGAGGTCTGGCTCATCTTCACTAAAAACTGAAAAAGAAATACAGAATTAATTATCTACTATTAGATTCTTGCTTTCATAAATAAAGAAGAGGTAAGAATATTTTCAGTTTCTGAATTTAGTTTGCAATATTATTCTTTAAACTTTTCATATTGAGTTATGATTGCATTTTAAAAGAGTCGTAAATCATGCACATAAGTAAATGAAAATTGAGATAAGTAGCAACAAAGTGTGTACACACTGCATGTCCTCCTGGTGTTCCAACATAAATGTGAAACTCATTCTGCATAGCAAGGTGAAATAAATATGGGTTAGCTCAGTGGATAAGCATTTGACCAGTATTTTTTAAGTATATCATTCAAATGTCACTTGGGATAACAGCTGATATGACTTCAAATTGTTACTATTTTCCTCAGCAATTTCAGGTAAATAGGAAAGTTGACATTTAAATAAACAGATTACAAAAATAACACACTGAATGACAAGTGCATTCTTTAATTAGTAAGAGCTTTAACCAACTGAGATATATATATATATATATATATATATATATATGTATTTTGACATAACAAAGTACTCCAACACATTCAATTCCTTATTTTCAAATTTCAATAATGTCAGACTGGACCCAAACATTTTACTTTCTGGATAATGAACTGAGTCAGGGAGAGACATCCTTCTTAGATGCACTTACTTGAACACATTAGAAACCATAGAGGACAATATAAACTTATTGCTTTCATCAAAACTATCAAGAATGCTGGACTTCCTATGGCACTGAACTGGGACATGATTACCACAATTAGCTGATTAAGACTGGTAGAGGAACTGAAAGGGTTTTATCCCTTTTGTATAACAATGATAGGAGAATAACAGGAATGCAATATACTGCTGTCATATATCCAGATTTACTGCTACTACTATAACTGTGGTGATTCTCTTTTGTCTCAGATCCTTAACATTAAATCCTTGACACTTTATTAAGGCAATAATCTGTAAAAGCTAACAAGACAAGGTTAACACTGTGTTTAAGAACTACAATATGAAGGTGCATATGGATTATGGAGTTATAACCACATGCATTCTATAGTGCACCCAGCATTAAGAACAGACAGTGTTATTTCAAGAGCTTTTCCTCACACCTATAATGATATCAATATAAAATCAAATTTTTCATTTCTGTACATTCCCACTAGGCTCTCTTGAAGTTACACTCCCTCTATAAACAAGGTTTAGTATTCAGATGCAAGTTTTAGACTTGTTTAATAATGACATATTCATTTTTAGCCTACTTTCCTTATTTTGAAAAAAATAAAAGTAGGATTATGCAATCACCATGCTGTCTGTGATCCCACTCCATTAAGTTTTGAATGCTTGAAAAAATCTTTAATAAACTCTATGTGTATATCATGGCACTTGAGCCCATCCCAACAGCCTACTTCATAAATCCCTTCCATCAGTCTGTGTGTGTATCCCCTATTGTTGCTAGGCAAGAGCTCAGTAAAAACTTTACTGTGGCGATGAATACATATGCAACAACAGAAGATACTTTGTGCAAATCATTTTCTATGTGGTCTGCATCGTATTGAAGGAAAATGGGTGATTATTCCTTCCCAGAACTTCCTGTTTATATTATGATTTCCCTAATCATTCCATCTAATAGCTTCCTCACACTGCTTTCCAACTGTCTCATCAGTCTGGTGTGGTATATAATATTGTGAAGAGCTTCAGTTTTCCTGTGATGATGTCATTAAATGAACTGTGTTGCTACAGAATAGCTATTGCTGGCAGTGACTGTGGAGCAACTGTTCCATTTACTCTGCTTTCAATATGGCCTTCTACAGAAAGGCTAATATCTCTGCAACATATTTTACAAAAAAGTTATGTATTGTCATTTCTTTCATGTAAAGGCAAACTATCACCTCAAGTTGCGGACAAGACTATGAAGGCCTGGCAGTAATATGTTTGCATACTGCTATTTGGCTCTACTTGTGGTCCATACATTACATGAGTGGCCTTCCTTGCCCTGTTACATACTTCAGTGGTATTGCCATAAGAACAACTTTCTATTCCAAATGTCATATCGGCCTTATTTCTTGGCATTTAGATTGAGATGGGAGGCGAGATTCATGCACTGGCCTTCTTCAGCTCTAGGAAAGAAGTCCCCAAGCATCCATTGCACAGCAGGTAGAATGGCCATCATAGCTACTCTGAATTTAAAGGAAACTTATTAACACATGTATCAACTACATCAGAATGTATGCCTAACATTCCTTTGACCACCTGCTCCACTTACTTCTTTCCCCTACCTTGTCATGATTTCACAGCAACACTGAACAGCTTCTTCAAATTGATTCAAACATCTGTAGAGCACATTTTAACAAGAATTCTTAAGTTCAAAGGTGTCATTTTATATAATGTTAATATCTTTTTTTTTCAAAACTAATGAGTCTAGATTTCATTTTTGATTGAAATCAATCTTCACTATCCATTTCCTGGCAACAGTTCTATAACACAGAACTATAAATGTCTCACTAAATTACACGCTCCTAATATTGATATACTACAGAACATGTAATGTCAGACACGAGTAAAAAAAAAAAAAGTAAAGCTATCCCTGTACCAGGCCTTGAAGGCCCATAGGGTTGTGAGACGTTGAGGCTCCCACATTATCTAGACAATCGGCTGAAAGATGGCGGTAAGGCTGTCAGCCTTACGCACCGGCCGTGCTTTACTCCCCAGGAAAATTATTTAATTAATTCCTGGTACTCATTTCTGTTAGAGGCTGAGTAAACCCCAGGGCCTAGTGCAGCTGGAAGGATTAGGTCAACTGAAAAAAATCCAAAGACCTCATCGGGGCTTGAACCCGCGACCTTCCGGCTTGTAGCATAGTCCCCAACCAACTACGCTACCGCGTGCCCCAATGTCACACACAAAGTCTTCTAATTCTTCTTCTGGCCATACTGTTGTCCCCTTGGAACTTTGGAACTAAAGTGAAGTGAATTCCCATTCCTGTATTCCTGTATATGATCTCGGCATGGACCATGCACAGATAACACAGCCCCTCTATTGTTGCATGGCGCAGATCACACACAAAACATTTTTTGTCTACTGCTGCACAATGTCAGAGCACATGCATTAACGTGTTTACTGAGCTGTTGCCTGGCAATGCATCACAATATATTAAACACAGCAAATGAAGATCTTCCACACAATGCAATAAGGAAAATGTCTACTCATTAATATTAAAAGGGCTTTCTTACAAAAATGGTCTCCCTAGATGATGCAACAGCTCCAATCATGCAAGCACAAAGCATTGAAGATAAAGGCTTAAATCTGATTGTTCTATCATATGATACAATTTACCATGCCAAAACTTTAATTCTAAATTTAGACAGATGATCATTTTGTCCACAACAATTACAGATTACTGAAATACCATCCTGATTATTAAGAGTGAAGATATAGATAGAAGAATAACACATTTATATTTAACAAAACATTTACATTAATTACTATTCTATTATTTGACATGATACATTTGGCTATAAACCTAATGTTTCTGGAAGTATCATTTATCAAAACCCCCCCTCCCCCAGAATTAAAAATGTCAAAGACATGGTTTGTAAATCACATACAAAAATGTTAACTATCTCAAACCATAATTAAAAAAAAACACCCTACCAAAAGACATAACTAGTTCAATTACAATCATCATTACACTAATTATTCCTATCAAGAAACTTGATAATATTATCGTACATTGCCACAGTAACCATACACTATATTAGCTATCAAGCAACTGCATGTGTGTGTGAACCTCTTTTCACGAAATGTTCGCTGATCACTGTAATATAGGCAGATGGGCATATGACATACGGTGTACTATAGTGTCAACACAAATGTTCATTTATTAATATGAGACATGAGTTTTAATTGGAATTCTAGCTCTGAACTTATCTAGCTACAAGCATTCAAATCTGGTATGGTGTAAAATTGTGTACTGTTAACTTGCACAGAAGCCACTAAGCTGGAAACTACCTTCCTACTGTGGATGTGTTAATTTATGGTAAAACTTATATCAAAGGACACTAATTAAGAATTCCTCTGTACTTAGAAAACTATGCATTTTTATACATCACAGCAAATATGACTTTACAAAGTACTGGTAAGTAAAGTAACAAATATCAGAATAGCTTGGCACATAAGGACACAGCTGGAAATGAAGGTAACAGCTGTTTATATGATCATGCATAGGGAAAGCAAGTATTATGAAACTACTAAGACAAAAGTAAATAAAATTTTCTTATCTCATGTGCAATCATGCCAAATGTATGCACAACAAGAAGGAACATTTTCATACATGATTTAAAAGAGATCATTCATACAATCTTCATGTGCAAATGAATACCTATCTGTGAACCTGCTGAACCTACTGGAGTTAGAAGTCTTCAATCTGTAGGCCTATGAAAGAGATAATGGTTTGTGCAAGACACACTGCACAGGTAAGTTTTGAATTTACATTTCTCCATGTAAGAGCAACCTCAAGTTGATAAGTTTAGGGAAACCTGATTCAAAATGTGCTTCCACGTTGACTGTTCATTTGCCTTGTAGACTGTAATCTACCTAAGCGGAATACATAAAAATAACAATGCTTTATAAATATACAAGTGGGTGTCAACAGTTTAACTGTTAGTGAAATTCTTTCAACAGTTGTATCTTTTAGAATTTTAATACTTACCTTGTAAATTAGTATGACTATAGGCTCACACAAAAAATATTTAATAAGGAACAAAATAATAAACATATTCTTGATAAATGCAGGAAAGTAACGAATGAAGTGCATGTGACCTGGGGCTTGCCAGTTCAGCAGTAATAAACACAATGGCTAATGGACATATTAACATGAAATTAAGCAGATTTTGTTCTTACTTAATGGAGGGTATAATGCATTTCAAACATTATTCCTGTTACTTCCTTACTGCTTCTTTGTATCACTTCCTAATCTTTCTCACGATTTCAAGTTACAGGTTCCTTAACCAGAAACTTCCATATCTTCCTGGACCTACATTTTCAGACACACCAATTGTATGTTGAGCTTTATGAGGATTTCCAGCTTCTTCGTCTGTCCAAGATAATATCTGAAGAGTGCCTTTAAATAGGTTACTTAAAACTTTGCTCAAATTCTTCTCAAAGTATAGTTCACAGTCATCCTGCCATTTCTCTCGCATTAAATAGCATGAGGAATAAAAAAATTCATATAAAATATTGGTTATAAAATCTCACAGGAAGAAACACATGGCAAACCTTGACAAATATACGAGTAATAACAAAATATTTAAATTTCAGATTTCAGGTTTTCACAGTGCTGAAGATATAAGTTGAGATCTTCCATGTTATAGCATCTGGTAGGTGGATATCAAGGTTCTTGAGGATGATACTGCCTCCATCTGCAGAGCAGAAGTAAACCCCAAAGATAGAAGCAGTACATTCCACCAACACTATCCATCTACAGACTACACAATAAGAATAATATTAGAGTGGACCTTAAAAAAATATTTACTAAAACTTTGCACTTCATTGAGCTGATGAGTATAGGGTTTAATGATGGGCTTCTGTGATCACAGTTGTGAACCCCATTTTGTAACAAGCAACATCAGTCATGATAAGACTACAATCTATGCCAAGGTATATTCTCTGGCTTTGAGACAACAGATCTCAGAGATGTTTGATGATGCAAGAAGCAAAGAAGTTTGACCTAATGAGAAGCCATGCAATAAAGAAAGGGGACGATGCAGCAGGCAACACAGATCTGTTTTCACTTCACCCTGGGAAACACCAGCACCACTGGAGTAGGAAGCAGAAGAAGTAGAAGATGTAGAGGATGTAGAGGGAGCAGATGGCGACTCACACATGGGCTTGAGTTGTGATACCAGTTCTTCCTTGGTCCACTCTTTCTTGTCACCCCAAAGAGCCAGGCTTGGTGTGATTACTGCCAGCTTGTTGTCATCTGGATATGGCACATTGAGGTAGTGCACCAACACTATATCAGGGTTCTGCAACGCACACATCAGACTCTAAATTTAACTGTTCCAATGACAGTTTCTGAACACTCTACATATACAAAATGTCACACAATTTTTGTCAAATCTGCAAACACTGATTTAAGTGGTTACTAATATTTCTATGTGATCTTCAAATATGAAACTATTCATTCACTCATTCATTCACTTTATTACATTCCATAAGATCTTTACAAGGTTGTGAGAACAACCATCGTATATAGGAACAGTCAGATAAAAAATCATTGCTTTACAAACAAGCAGATTGTCAAAATACAACAGTAGAAATATGAGTATAATACGTGTAAAACACATTTGTCAATAAAAACAATAAAATGAAAATAAACATATACTAGTCATTAATAAAAACCTCACAAGAAACTCCAACAATCATACCTTAATATGAAATCATTTGAAATAAGCTAATTTGTCAAAATGTAAGAACACAAATAAGAAACAAGTCTAAGTTGTGTACACACCATTTTAGTATAGTTAAAATTAAAAAACGAAATATTTATTGAATACTTACAGATAAACATGAAAATATACATGTCATACTTAATATATAAGTGTCACAAAATTAACAACCTAATAAATAAATTCAAATGGGGTCATATTACATGCTCATATCTGCATAAATGAGTAATAAATTTTAACAGATATTTAAAATTATGGTAAACAACTGAAGTATTTATATAGGTGGATCTATCAATTGGATTCAATATGAAGATTATTATATTTTATATTTAAAAAATTCATCAATGCTATAAAATGAGTGAAGATAAAGAAATTGAAGTAATGTCTTCTTAAAAAGATTGATATTGCCATACAGCTGTTTTATGTTAATTGGGAGATTATTAAATATCTTAATTCCGATAAATTGAGTACCTTTCTGATAAATCGATAATTTAGCAGATGGAAGATAAAGATTAGAAATGTTTCTAGTCGTAATCGAATATGCATCCGAATTTTTGGTAACCATTTCCCAATTGTTAACTACAAACATTAAAACAGAAAAAATATATAGAGAGGGCAGAGGTAATATTTTAAGCGAAGAAAATATCTTCCTACAAGGATCTTTATAACCTACACCAACCATAATTCTAACAACTCTTTTTTGAAGTCTAAAAATGTGCATACTGCGATA